GTAGACATCATTAGACTGTCGTCTACAAAGTGTGTTCCCCCGCATACTATTCCAAAAATTCCTAACTTAAACACGGGCCGGGCTAGCCTGACGTCTTCCGGAACATCGTCAACTTTTACACCTTTTTAGTACTACACAACGCTAATGTTGGTAAATTTTAGAGGTATTCAGATGATGTGTATGTGTTATACACTTAAGCTCTCTGTAAGATCAGTTGCATCTGTCTTGGATATCAAGCGTATTTTCGTCTTTTAATTTGTGTACGTTTCCGGTACGTTTCTATTCTTAATTCTGCCAACAGAATAATTTCCGTATTTTATGATGCGGACAATAAATTTGTAATCTAATCTAATTATGTCAGTCAAATTACACTGGTGTGGACTTTTGTGCCAACATCCTGCTTTCACTGTTGAAAAGGCAAGCAAAATATGTTCTGTCGATACGGTGCGTTCCATTTACATTAGCCTCAATACATCGTTCCTATCCTTATGACGCTGAGTAGAACGGCCAACCCAGCAGACTTACTCTCATCAAACTCGAGTAGCTCGGAATAACTGAAATATTCCCAAAAGAAGGCATGAGTTGGTGTCTGCTTCCTATTTCTTGAAGGCGCTATTTACACTTCACTGGGCCACTCCATTCACAAAGTTGGTCTCTTTATTGGGCATCATCAGTCTGAAAATTGTCCAAATCCAGAGATTGCGGTGTCATCGGAACAAAATTATTACTTCTTACTTTTATTTACTTTTTTGCCAGCGCGGCATCCCGCTAGTCGCTGAAAATTCCCGGTGACCCACTTTAATGGAAGGAAGCATGCTGTGGGGTTTTCAACGGAGCGGCTCACGGTCATCGATCAGTGGCTTATCGCAACTGGCGGAATTCAGCCACTTCAAATGACCATGCGTTGGCTGCGCTATCATGGTAACCGATTCGTCTAATTATGTCCTACTTACACGTGGCGTTGACGGTTAATTTTCAGCTCTTATTGGAAACATTTTGGTTTTAAAGTTTTCCGTCCCTGCAAGTGGCAATTACCTAAAATGAAGTCTTGCGTATTACCTACAAGACAGAAAGGGACTGGCCAACGTCACCTGTCTTGACATTTAATTTCTCGTTATTTAAAAAGCGCAATGACTCTTCCAAAATGTAGGGACCCCGTGATGTCGTTCGCTAATCCCATTCGGGTGTCTCATAGCTAGGTTTTCTAGACTTCTAGAGTGGTCAAGATCTGTGTATACCGAGACCCAGTGAAACGAGACAAGCTTTTGAAACAACCAAGAGTTTTAATCACAATCACAAGACTGTCCCAAGTCAGGAGCAAAGAAGTTCCATAGAAGAATATATAAAACCAAAGAAAAATTCAAAAGTAAAGAGCGGGCATCACCGTAACTAGATCTACAATCACCAAGAGTACATTAACCTAATGATTGATGTACATGTAGGTCTAAAGTTGATCCCTGTTGTTAGGCCTATCTAGCGGGTTTGAGCTATTAGTCCACTTAAGAGCCAGGTTTTAATGGCAGTATGGACATTATGGTCGTTTTTGTGGACTAAATTTTTATTCGCTTTTAGTTGGTTTTTGTTCTTTCCCTCGTGACGGGCAATAAATCTGGTGGGGTCTAAGCGAAGCACTAACGTCCCAAAATTCCTCCCAATATGACTGCATCGATAAAAGTACACAAATTCTAAAGTCCTGCGTTACAGAGCCGAAAGGTAAAAGGTCACTAATATGGAACCCTCGCGCGGTCCGCCTTTGGGGATTGTACATGGGCCGTCCTGTCACATCCGATAATTTTTGGAAGAGTAATTTCTAACTGGAGCCACCCCAAGAAACACTCATGTCGGAATGTTCCCTTTGTCCTCCTCAAGTGGTATTTAGGAAAAGTCACCTGGAGATGGGTAAAAAAACGAATTCCATTAACGACCTTTCACTTCCGGCAGTATCGTTTCCAGGTCGCCTTATTCACGCACGTTTGTTTTCATCCCCTGTGCTTACGTGAAAATGAGATTGTACAGAGTTGCAAAGATAACATACATGTACCTGCAGTCAATGGGCTCTCGATTCAGTCGAGTTGACCTGACGCAGTTCTTGTCAGCAAAGGTTAGATTACACATTAGAATCATTCGTAAAAGGGTCCATAAACTGATAAAGAACGTACGCACGAAATGCCGACTTTTCAGCCCCCTCCTCTATACGCATGGCGTACGCAGTGGCTCCACCCCCCCATACACGATATGCATTCCACAATTCCGGAAGACGCTGCCAGTTTTTGTGTCAGGAGTAATATGTTGCGGTTTACATTAATAATGGGCATTGGCACGGGAGGATAAATAGTGGGGTAAACGGTGGGGTAACTTAGTTATCTCGTTTAAACGACATAGTTATCTCGTTCAAACAACATAGTTATCTGGTTTAAACGAATTAGTATCATGTTTAAACGACCTATATGTAGGCCAAGATATGTCGTTGAAACGAGACAACTGTGTCTTTTAAACGAGCTAAAATATTTTTTTGGCGTTGGCAGTAGTACGCTTCCGTACGATACTGTGTTTGAATTTCGACGCATTAAAGCTGATTCTACAGTATTTATTTGCATGAGTAAGCGTATTTTGCGTTCGGTACGCACTGGGTTGAACCCCCCCCCACACACACACCTCTGTGCGCATGGTGTACGCAATGGCACCACCAGCCCCCTCCCCCATGCGTACAAACATGTACTTTATGGACGGCCCCAAAGCAGGTTATTGCTTTCAGTTTATTTCCTTATAGATTACAAAATCCTTAAGATAGTTTGGTCTGCTTTTATTTAGGGTTTCACCGAAAGGTTAAATACCATATACCAAGTATAATTCCGAAACTGTTCATCTGCGCATGAGACCACCGAATTGCACTGTTCATGTATCTTTATTTTTAGAGTGACAGGTAAATTTTGGCAGGATATTTTTCTTTTAGGTCAGGTAATTTTTAGTTTCAATAAATTGGTAGGCCCGTTGCTGGCAAATATTTTACAACGGGCCTTATTAAAAGTTGAGATTTTAAGACGGAACGTAACAAAAATACTAAAAATTCTACAATTTCTACACGTTATTTTTTTCTAACCAAGGGTTCCGGAAGCGCGCCATCAGGAGTCAACTTCACTGGCTCCATTGGCCGGGAGCTTAAATTAAAAAGAAACTGACGGCGCTATCTAGCTACATTGGAACAAACTCATCCTCCCAGTACATATTCACCAGTTTGTTAATTAATTACTGTTGTTGTGTTGTGTTGTTTGGTTGGGGTTGTGGTTGGGGTTGGGTTGGATTGGGTTAGGTTGGGTTGGGTTGGGTTGGTTTTTTCATCTCATTTCCTTTCCACTATTTGTATTTCTGATGGAGTCTTGGATGTTATCATGGTAATGTGATATCGAATTAATGTTATCCCCAATCAACTAAAGACTGTGTAAAATTGAAGAAAAAGTTTTAGATTTATAGAATAAAAGCCTAATTGTAGCTACGATCTCGCCTCTTCGTACTGATAGTACAAAATCAAGCATTTCGTATTGTATTCCTTTTATAAAGAAAATTTCACTCAATGCGGAACTTCAGTTTTTGTATTAATTGCAAACTTTAAAATTTCAAATACAAGTCAACCCAAATTGGGTTTGAATCAAAATGCTTTAAACCAAACCAAACAAAACAAACAGAGCCGGACAGATTACAAATCTAAGCCTGTTTATTTCTAAGTTACACCATGGAGGAAGGAAAAGACTGAACGAACTTCTTCGGTCAGCTTCGTCATTTTTCACCGTGACATCTCAGTTTTCATCCAAATTCCCCCCTGCCGACTTAAACACTACACTCGCTCCATTCAGAAGCGCTGTTTACCACCCCACCTCACCCAAGTTTGTTGCCCTTTATTGGTACCCGAAGGAACGTGGACCATACCCCCTCGAAGCATAATGGCTCATTCATCCTGACCCTAGTCCCGGTGGCACGCGATGTAACCCAAGTGATAAACAACTTCAGCGGAAAAAGTCGACTTGCATCAAGTCCCCATGGAGCAACGAACCACTGCGCCTTCTAAAAATAGCCACCCTTGATGTGTCATTCATTAACAACCATCTCAACAGGGATTGTAAAAATACAGGGAGAGATAAGGACTGAAGCAAGTTTGTTTCCCTCTCTGTGGAAATTCCGCTGGATTTAGCTCTTTCCTTTTCATCCTGCGTGCCATGTGGAAATATCCACATGATCCAGGTATGCTTCATCGCCGGCCAGCATTTACAAATGATGCAAGATATGGGGCGGAGAGAACCCCCCCGCCTTTGTGTTGGTCATTGTTTGATCGGAATCTCAGGATTTCTTTACAGACTTCTGGGGGGATGTGTTAGGTAACAATAGTCTAGAGTGTGGGATACCCATTGGCCCCATATCGTGCACGGTGTCAGCATTTATGGCCGAGTAAATGTTTCAAGATAGTGCTTAACTGAAAATTTTCAGTCCTCAAACGGATAAAATTTTCCATGGTCAATACATGCATTATTTTCACATACTTTTTCAGCTTTTAGTATGTATTTTTAATTTAAATCTCTCTGCTTTACGCCCAGCTGTTTAAGTGGAAAAAACCCTGAAAGGAAGAAGAGGCTATCCAAGATTAGAGCTGGGAGGAAAGCCCCAGGAAGGTATTCCGGAAAACCAACATAAATGGGTAGGGAGTGATCGAAGATTTAATAAAACAATTCACGTGTCGACGTGGTTGGAATTCGAACCCCAATCACCGAAGCTGAAACCGAGGAATGCTCATCATCACAGTGCAAACCCGATTTCACGTATTGCTGACGTCACTATACGACATAAAATAAGGTTCTGTCATGTCTGTGCTTTCGGGGAAGTGCAAGAAAGGTTAATAGAAATGAGTTTGCATTCATTAACAGTGTAACATATCTTCACTTTTAAAAATTTCCCCAGAGCAAAACACGAGCTGAGGAGAAACAAGGCTGAACAGGTTGTAATTTACTTACCCCCATTACCAATCAAACCCAAGACGTCGGCTCTGCCATATTCTGATGAATGCAACATCACTTTTAATTGAGAGCACCTCATTGCAATTGTTCCGGACACAAGGCATGCAAGGTGCGTATCTTAGCAACGCTACAGCAACAGTCGTGACAGTCGTGGTTGAGAAACACGAGGGAGGACGACGATCTTGATGAAGAGAAGATCCAGGCCCATCGCGTGAAATAGGTCCCCATAAGCACTTGTTAAATCCCACAGCCAATTTTCCTTCACAACAGAATACTGTTTACGAGCATCTCCAAATTGTTCCCTTGCTGTATGCTCCATGGAAACGTAGAGGAATTACACATTACCACAGCTGCTGCAGAATTTTTCTTAAACTTCATTTAGATTCCAGTATTAGCAAGCGCAATGAAAATCCATAAGTTCGGAACAACCGATCCAGAGTAGTCCGACTGCTTTGGCAAGGCTCCCAGGTGTGTACACACCATGTGTTGACGGTAAATTCCTTGGTCAACCTCATCAAGTGTGACCCACTGTACAATCCCCCGTCTCTCCAGATGCACTCACCGGTAAATTGTCATTGAAGGAGCGGTTACGCCCCGACCCCCAAGCCTCAGTTGTTGGGCTCGCTGACTTGCATTCGGACTTTCGTCTCCAATTTGGAACAGAACCCCGCATGCGCACAGGAGCGGATGGCATGCATGATACTGAATCCCGCGAGCGATTTCCCGACATGCGAACGCACGGGACCAAGCGATAGCGTCGATGTGGTCCACATACTTGACATACCGATGACCCGTGTACTGCACAGGTTGTTACTAATTGGGCACCTGTTTGAAGCGGGCATGGGGAAACCCAAACAACAGGTTACAATGCCCCTGAGGTAAATGCGAAACCCGGATTTCACCGTGCTGGGCTTATACAGTGTATAAGACTGTGCCTGTTGACGGCTTAAGTTATGAGCATATGAAAAATATCGTGGTAAAACCCTCCATGGTGTGTGTAATACCAACCAAAGACAGTTATGTCCTGTTTTGGAAAAGCGGATCCTCCCTTTTTTTTCAAAGTGGAGAGCGAGGGACACGGATTTGGTAGTTGCCAGATGCTCTTTTGAAGTCACAGTCGTGTTTTTCATACAAGTGGCTTGCCGTCGTCGATGCGAAAGAAAAACAATAATTCACAAAGTGTTACAAATCCCACGCTGCTATCAGAACACCGGGTAAACAAAATGAAACAAAATAACATCGTTTTACGAGATGAAACCATTTTTCAGTTTTTGAAAATGTATACACATGGAGGAATAAGAACATGGTTATACATCAAAGCACGAGGGCGTTTTCGTACTCCTTATGTGCACCTTAATTAATTAGACACTATTGGCTTCTTTCCATCTCACACTCGACTCGGACTTACTGCCTACTGGTAGCTGGTCAACTATTTAAGGCTGGCCGTATCCACAAAGTGTTTGGAAAAAAATCTCATGCAGCTATTAGAACGTCAAATAAATACTATGACTAAAATAGTACTTGGTGAAAATAAACCCTTACTTTTTAAAAGCAATGAAGAAAGGAATATCTTAAGGCAAAACCTCCCACCAGTCAGTGGTGGTATATTTCTGCGAACTTTACCAATTTGAATTACTGGCAGCTTATATGACATGTAACCAGTGCCACCTTCGATCCTTTTGGGGTCATTCTATAAATCTGGGGTCCGCATCCGACGTTTGACATTTTTCCATTCCTGTTACACCCGACATGTACACCGTGACACGGGATATATCAGTGAAATTGATTTCAAACTATTTCTATTTGTCTGACAGGTAATTTGACATACTTATCCAATCGTGGAAATAAAAGAATGAGTTGTAAACATTAAAAAAAATCATACGCCAGATGTAACAGGAACGGGGAAAGATGGATCCCAAATTTAAAGGCAGGGCAGCCATTTAACAGCGGGAATGGATAAGCAGTCTGACAAATACGGCTGCAAGGACACTTCGACGCCACAGAATCAAGCGCAATGTCGGGACACAAGAAGCGATGGTCACGCCCGTCTCTCTAAATTAAACCAATTTATTGCCCACTCAAATCAACAAAATATACACCGACGATAACATGATATCAGTTTCGAAGATAGCTACTTCTAGAATCAGGCCAGCCAACCTGAATGTATGAAATATGAAACGGGTGCGGCTTAAATTAGAATAGTAACAAAACACGGTAACAGTAATAACAAACTGATTTCTTGTGGGGGAGGGCGGGGAGGGATATGCTGTGGATAGGGCCGAGATGGGGTAAGAGGTTTTGGGGAGGGGGTCTAGGTAAAGCACTCTCTTTATTAATAATTAGCATTTGTACTAAAGTAAATGTTGGGATATTTCAAAAATAAAGTACTAAAGACACTCATTTTTCTTCACAGTACTTGTGCGGTTCTCATTAAGGAGTTTTAAGTACAACCTCTTTGAGCAGAATCCCCTCAGTAATAAAACAATTTTTTTCAGTATCAAGCTATAAATTGCTTCGAAGTACACATGAAAAAAAAATCCACCACCAGCAATTAGAAATATTGTAAATGTACATCTGTCAAAGTTTAATAATCACAATAAGCATAAATGAAACCCAAGACTAGACAACAGACAAAGGAAGTTATGAGAGAAGAAAATATAAAAAAAAACCCTTGAAACTGGAAAAACAAATTAACAGCTTAAAAATCATAATCTGCCTAAACGTCATTGCCTCAGTGCACAAAAAAAAAACTTACAAGAGTAAGGTAAGTAATTCTGGTACATATCATTTCATGCTGTGTAACTCTCTTTGAAAATCGCGACAAACGGAAGGAAAAACATCGAGATCAACAAGGCATTGCTTCTTTCTTCATCCAAGTTGTTTCTTGTCTCTCCCCAGGGGGTTATTCAAGGTGTGGACAGGAGGAAGGTGTTGGAAAGGATTATCCACTAGGCACAGAAGGCACTGGGTCTAGGCCCAGGAAAAAACTTGCGGCCAACAAAAATTTTGAGGGCCTTTGAAGATTCTGAGAGCCTACAAGAATTCCACAACATCACACAAGAGTTTCCGCATCTCTATTTGAATTTTTGACGTGGGAAAAGCTTCCAAATAGCTTGTACAAAACTTAGAACAGCTTGACATCATCAAGAAATGCAAGACTTAAGTGCTACGAAATTGATGCCGGGGCCTCAGGCGGAGTGGTGCCATAGACTACCGGTGCCTTGGGCCTAGCCTTAATCCTGGTTCTGGGTGTAATGATGTGGGGTGAGGTAGAGGGATTGGTGCATAGGTAGTGAGGGACAGAGAGCGGGACAGGGTGATGGTTGATTGGAAGTTATCCAAGGCCAACATCCAGTGACATCATGATGATGAAACCTACAATAGTCCCCCAGGAAGCTAGTAAACCGTTGCCGCTGAAACAAATCAAGAAAAAACAGGAGAACACGTTGAACGAAAGAATAAAATTAAGAAAAACTGGACTTCAAATAGAGGAGGCTGGAGGTCTTCATTTTCTGAGAAACTATTTCATGGGTTTTGTTATGAAGTTAACGGCACTGCAACACAGCAAGAAAGCATCTCAATGGGCCCTTACAATACCAAATCCTTGGATTTCAATATGATATTACAGACACCCTTGGGGTAAGGGTTAAAAATGATCGAATTTTGCTGCTTATCTCTAAGGAAGAAAATCTAGATTGAGGAATAAGAAAAAACTGAATTAAATGAAAATAAATGCAGCAGAAATTATGGGAACATGACTTGGGGGGATCACTTAAACATCCGACAATGTTATCTCTACCTTGTTTGTGCTTCTGGGAGTATGTCGTCGGCAACGACGTAAACCATTGCGCCGGCTGCAAATGATAAGGCAAAGGGTAGAATTGGCTCAGCGATTACCACGGCGACAGCACCCACCACAGCTGCCAATGGTTCGACCATCCCACTTAGCTGTCCGTACCTTGAAGGCAAACAAAGGATATAGAAATCAAGAGTGTAAGGCCATACCTGAATGAGTTTCCAGAGCTACATATTTGGAGTGGTCGTAAACTTAAGACCTAGACCTCGACAGAAAGATTTGGACAAGGCCTGAGCACGTCCAAAAACTGACAAAGCTGAGACAGATATGGGCATCAGGGGGAATGCTCTGCCAAAAAAATACGCTATGTAACTCACGGCCTTCGAATGAATTCAGACGACCTTTTCAACTTGGTCAAATAACATTTCATAAACGTTTTCTCTCTAAATCCCTCAACCTCCTTCTCACTACAGCTACTAAAGTTGACATTAGCACACTCACTTGCCAGCAACACAACCTTCATTGTCCTACTCACCAAAAGCTCATCCATGTGGAGTAACCAGATCCTCGAAGGGGAAGACTGACAGCAAGGCCTTCTGGGAAATTCTGTATGCCAATCCCGATGGCTAAATTTCTGTCACAAAACCCAAACCAACATTCATCATAAAGATCTATTACGAGATGGGACATTTGTTAAATTTGTGAGGCCAAAGAAAAAAAAATCTTTCGTCTTTGGTCAGCGCGCGCGTCGATTTCAAGCATGCACGTCAATCTTTTCTTTTCGAGAGCTGCAACAGTGCCCTCTGTTGCTGCACTGCCTAAGCATTTTTACGGGCAGCTCAATCTTTTACTTAGGGCGATAGATCCCAACGAGATTGATGTTGACAATGATAGCAGATTATGGATACAAAGTTGTTTGTTGTCAGCTTGTAATCATAATAAAGTTGGTCTAGTCCCATGACTCGACAACATGTGTCTGCAATTGTCTGCACGATCCAACCCTGGAGAAAACCCTAGAATATCAGTCTAACCAGAGACAAACTCTTTTTATTTTTGCCTTAAATTGGGTTTCTGATCTTGAATATTTCTGATAATTGATAACGGCAGAACTCAACTCGGTATTAACACCTAAATTATGTTTGTTATTGCTCTACTTCAAACACCCCCGGTTTTCTCAAAACCTTTTGGACTGTCTAGTGATAATTGTAATACCCCCTTGAAGTCTGCACTGTTATTACAGGTGCAGTATGCACCTGGAACTGGGTTTCTTTCAAGAGCACTTTAAATTTCCTGTCATAATACCTCTGTGTTGAATGAAAATGTCGAATGAAATGAAAATCTGACATTTGGGCAAGTGTTTAGAAACTTTTACAGAGAGCATGACAAATTAAACAGTACATTAATTATTGAATTTTTAAATATTTAACACGAGCAGTAAGTGTGAAATACATATAATTCAACATGTCATTCACACAATAAACAAACAAAATATCACTAGGAAAAGAGATTACCTAGCACTTTCAAATGTAGCAGATGGAGTTTTCCCAACAGCACCAAATCCTACCCCTACAGCTAGACCCTCTGCAAAAGATCAAGAAAAAAAAAGTGTTTGACTCGCACATGATGATGTGTGGGTGCCATGATGGGTGTGGGCAAAAACACCTAACCACATGTACCTCTTTTTACCCGGGAGTACAAATGGGTACCTGGGAGGGTAGTGATCTTGAGCTGCTCAGTGCAGAAATGGATCTCATGGCTTAGTGAGCAGGGATAAGAAATTAAGCACTTAGCAACTTCGGTGGTGAAGTGCTATGTATGACCGGCTCCACAAAAATGGGTAATAAGTCACCAGATTCAGGCTATGAGTTTTTGATATGGCCGGATTCTGTACATCAAAAGCTACAATTTGATACATGAATGACCCCTGTAGTGCCCTGCGTACCGGAGATATACAGACATTTGTATATCCACATTTTCAGATTCAATAAAAGCACTTTTTGAGAAAAAGCTCATATCGTGTAGCGCTTGGAAACACAGTGCTTTTTAGGATTTCCTGCTGAATGATCAATTTTTCATCTTTATTCATCAGTATCCATGTTTGTAGTCACAAATTCTGAAAAAATAAATATTATAGATGCTATTAAAGGAAAAAAACACAAAAATCACATTTTTGAAGAAATTTTGTTCTTTCCAAATGGAACAGGCCGTAACATGTTTTTGCACCGCGCGACTTATTACCCTTTTTTGCAGAGCGAGTCACGTTTTTCTGGAGAATGTCAATCATGCTTACCAGGAATGTTATGAATAGTGATGGCAACGATGAGTAGTAAAATTCTCTTCCATGTCAAGAGCCTTTGCTCGGAATTTGACCCTTGACCCTTGAGGTCATGACCCTGTGGTTCTAAATCACCGTTTGGGCTGGTTCCTGAGATCTTCCTTCTTCGCTGAGTTACTCTCGAGTCTGGAAGTGGGGGAAAAGGTCTGAGAATATCACACACAGAACATAAGGCCGATGGATTAGGAAATATGAAGACCATCGGAGGAAAGAACAGGTGCAGTGTAACACACTCACCGGTGATCGCCGCTTCTTCATCTTTGCTACTGCTTAACACAGAGGTCAATGGGGGGTCAGTCTCTTCGTGGATCTTGGGTTGGGACTGCAAGGCTAGGGCTGTGGATGGTGAACCCTTGAGAAAAACACAGAAAGTAATCTGGCTCAGCCTAACACAGCTTAGGATGGCCCAATCAACCCAGCCCAACGCAGTCAAGGAAGGCACTGCCCCAGTACAGTACTGCCCTGTCCATTCCAACCCAGCTGAGCCCATTTCATCAAAACCAAGCCCAGCCCTGCCAGATAAGCTTAGTCCAGCACAGCCCAACCTATCCTATCAAAACAAAGCCAAGCTCAGCCCTGCCAGACAAGCCTAGCCCAGCAGAGCCTAACCTATCCCATCCCATCAAAACCAAGTCCAGCCCTGCCAGAAAAGCCTAGCCCAGCACAGCCTAACCTATCCCATCTCATCAAAACCAAGCTCAGCGGGTCTATTCCAATCCAAGCAAATCCTAGCCTAGCCCAAACAAACCCAATCAAGTCCAACCTAATCCAACCAACTTTTCAACCCATTGAAAACTAAGCACAGTCAAGCACAACCCTGCCCTGTTCATTCCAACCCAATCCAACAAAATGCAGCCTAATTCATATGAACCAAGCCCAGCCCTGTCCAATCTAGCCAAGCCCAGCCCAGCCCAACCTATTACCCAAATCAATTCAACCCAACCAAATCCCAACCAACCCACTAGAAACAAGCCCAGCCCACCCAGTCTAGTGTAACTGTAACCCAACCGAGCCTGATCCCACCCAACTTATCCCAGACCAATCTCCCTACTCTCACCAGTGCTGGCATCACTACATCAGCTCCATAAACAAAGACTGCTCCCATCAAGAACCCAACTGCTGCAGGGATGAACGCCCACTGACCATCAGTGCCATAATTCCCTGATAATTGGGCGAGCTCAATAGCAGGCGCTAGAAGCGACCAATAGGATGCAGCCAGCATTACCTGAGAAAGAGTCCGACATAAGACGCTTTACAAAGCATCACCTGCATTAAAGTTTATTGTTAGAATAAATATCCATTGTCAACAATGCTGGAATTTTGGTAACTCTCTTATTATCCAAGGGGAAAAGTTTACTTGTGCTCAGCCTATGAACTGTGAATCAAGCTCAGTGCTGGCCATACGTTGTGGCCCTAGGCAAGCCACTTAGTTGCCTCTCTCCATCTAGGAGTACAAACGGGTACCAGAATTCAACCTGCAATGGCCTGGCATCCCATCCATGGGAGGGGGGAAAGAAATATTCTCAGTCATTTCATGCTAAGCGAACGGGACATAAACATTGGCCTGAGGGCCAGATTGGTTCTGACGGACTTCAACTTCAAACGAAACCAATGCCTAAATTGACAGCTGGACTGCATGCCTCGTGAGTGGACAGATGTTGCCTTTGTGCATAACAAGAAAACTGCAGAGTCTTTCTTTTTGAGCAAAATTCATGATTTTGATGTTTCCCAAAAGGAATGAAAATGTCTCACCCCTGCAGCAAAACCCAAGCTACCATCCAGAATTCGCCTCTGTCAAGAGATAAAATTGTTTTGAAGACAATGGATCAACTAAGAGTCAAGATAAGCTACTGTTCACAAAGTTCTGCCTAGACTGCCCTGCTCAATCTGTAGATGGCAGAAGCACTATTTTACTAGCCTATCTTGCAGATTTGATCAATTTTTGAATGAAAGATTGGGCAACGGTCAGATGGTAATCATTATAAAGCAATTTTAATACAGGTTAGAATCAGAAATTAATTTGGAAACAGTTCCAAATATGAGCAACACTTATAAATTTTCCCTGGATATAACAGCCATTAGAAAATGGTAACATGTCCCCAAAAGTGGAAATTTAGCAAGGAGAATTCCGAAGCTTTTACTTAGGAAGCACTTTTTCAGACAAGTTTCATAGGTTTGTGCATAGGGGCATCAAGTGTTGTACGTATACGGAACTTTTTCATTCATTTTATCCCATGAAGATCTCTCCTGTTAATTTGTTCCCCTTTTTCAAATCAACATGAAGTGGGCCTAAGTTACCATGGTTACATCCAAAACTGAGGTTCGTTGTTTGCTACTGGCCTGAGTTAATTTCGACCTCATGAATGTTTTCAATGAATGTGTTGTCCGGACTTTGTACCCGTACCCCCAGAACTGTGGGATTCGATGTCCACCCCGTCATGCCCGTGGGAGTGCGGTGGACATCATCTGTGACAAATATCACTAAAATCCCCCAAATTTTCCTTTGGCATTTAACCCCTTTGTGCCGCGAGATGGGAAGAGCCGCCGTAAAAATTGAGATCCTCAGCCCGCTTTTCAGCTATCATTTTTTGCCCACACTTGAGTGAACACAGTGAAAGAAGGCAGACCCCGGCTCTTGTATTTATGGTGTTTGGCCTTTGTGTGTAGCCCAGAAATGAGAAGACTGAATTTGCATGATAATCACCAGCTTCACAATAGCCCCCACTTTGAAAAGAGGCAACGGGAATGTGGAAGCGTGAGTAGAACCACATGCCACCGAACAATCAGCCTTTTCACCGTGTAAATCAAAGCGTGCAGAGCACGCAGGGCCACAAACCGAGAATTTGCGGTTTGGCAGGCGGCCTTCATGGCCAAGCGAGGCTGGAATTTTTGGAGTTGGCTTTTGGAAAAAATTTTCCATCGTCAAGGGGTTAAGAAAGCCAGTAGGTGGTGAAAAAGGTATTTTTGGTGAGTCTTTGGAATTTTTGAGAACTGTTTTCACCTTACTATATGCTATGCGTAATGTCGTGGAGCGTTAGTATGACGATCCTGTCCAAAATCAAAAAAGGGGAAAACTGATGCTCCACTTATCACACAGTTCTGTCTAGGGCCAGTCATGCCAGTAAGGGTACTGATTTTGCTCATTATTCACTTACTTTTCCACTGGAAAATACAAACACAAGTCCAGCGCCAGCTGCAGTAACGCCCCATGTAAACAAAGTCCCAAGCAACGCCTGAGTAACTGGACCGTAGCCTTGTATCATCGTCAGGGAAGAGAGAGGGGCTCGATCCCACGGTAGAGGAATCTGTTTCAACGCCGCTGGTTCTCCCAAACGGTTCAACCGTTTCTGTGGCTACAACAAATCAAAAAACGAATCAGTAAGCTGGGTAATAATCACAGAAAATGCACTGCACCTGATAAACTTTCACTTTCTCTATTTCGGAAGAGTCAATAGCCAACGTGTACATTCAGTCAGTAATCAATAAAGTAAACGGATATAAACCCACATATATACTTGCGCATAAGGCACACACCTGGACCGTACGTCCGTCTGCGTATTTACACATACGTACGATCGTGCACACCGGGCAATTGATATGGCGCCACCAAGAGGCCATTGTGAACCAGGTCTCAATAGTTCTCCAATTTTTCCTGTTTTCAGAAATTTTGTCCCACATTGTCTGCTTCCTGCTCACTTGTTGCGCGACATGGCGAATCCCAGTGATACTGGAGATCGTCAAGTGATACTGGCAACAGCTGGCTATGACCACACTATCCGATTTTGGCAGGCTCACACAGGAATTTGCCACAGGACAGTCCAACACCAAGATTCTGTATCCTTGTTCTGTTGTTGAGTAAAATAATTAGGCTTAGGCCGTTTGTATATTTTACCATGGTTCTACCGTCTAATATCTAACCATGTTTGGTGACTAGCTTGACTCTTGCAGTTTAGTCATATATTGTCGAGAATTCTCACCACTTTAAATGTGAGAGGTCTGCATTTTATTTTTGCAAGGGTAATGAATGGATAGGGGAAATTTGCATTCAAAGAAAAAGTTCACAGGCAGTACAGTAGGCCTAGCAGTAGCAGGTTGGAAATTCCAAAACCGTCGTTACAAACTTTACCAAGCTGTAAGGTTTTACAGTGTCTGTCTGTAAGTTTGTAAAAAACTTACAGATAGACATGTACAACTCGCATAAAACCACAGTTTGGGCTGTTCTGATTATTATCAAGCCAACTTACTCTACCAGCACAGATATTTATGTAGCCCCACTAGTGTGGCACGGACTCTCACTCCTGACGACGGCTGTTCCATGTCAAGACATCTAAACTGCTGCCAAAGTTTTGGAAGAGCCCATTGGTACATGTAGTATCTTATCACTCAGTCCGTGTATTACATATGTCTTGACATGGAGCAGCCGTCGAGACGATAAGGGGTCAAGTGACGTATGTTCAACGACCTTATTTTAAAGATGGTGATCGGGAGAGTGAGCCAGTTAGATTGAATGGATAAAGGCAAAAAGACTGGAAAATACCTGAATAACATGAGTGAAATCATTCAATAAATGGTTTTTAGAAAACGGAAAGGTCAAGGATCATGTTCGTGTGCAAAAGAAATTGCGCCCACGATGATAAGTGGGTGTGCCAAAAATGTTTAGTACGCTGACACGAAATTGCGCATACGGATGTGTGGCTAAGGATGGATCGGGAGTGAGAGTCAGTGCCACACTAGTGGGGCTATATTTGTGCAACAAAATTTCATACATGCCTTCTTGGAGGGATTAAACATCTGTTGGCGAGGTTTATTCACATTATATCTCATTAAAATGGTGAAATTCACGAGTATTTTGTCTATCCACACGATGGAAAATCGGCAAGATGTACTCTCTTGACTGTTGTCAGCAGTATGACAGCTTGACCAATCAAAACAGGACTGAAGGCTCCTGTCTGGAAGGTCTATAAAAACCGTTCAGTTCTTGAAGTAGATTGTAAACAGGAAGGGGATGGGCAGAATATTCAGCAATTTAAGGGGCAATTTTTACAGTGTTATAAGTGAGGCATGTGCAGCAGACAAACTAGTATGAGTTTCATCGAAAACTGTGTACGAGGGAAAGTTCATTACCATGACAATGTAGGATGCAATCATTGGATCTGCACGAGTGGTCAAGCACATGGGGGAATGGCGGATCTTTTTGTACGATCTGTCAATATTTCTACTACCACTACATGGTTGGGTTGTGGAAGATAGTGTGAAAATTGGAAGTTATGTACATGTATACATGTAGGTCTGAAACTTCCGACATTACTGACCGATGCTGTAGATTGACTGACAGTGCCCTACAATAGAGCTCTGTATCAATGATGTCACACCCTATTTATGTGGTCCCCCACTTGCTCCGTGGGAAACAGAGTGTGACATCATCAGAACATAGGTCCGTGTTGGATCCAAGGTTTTCCACGTGGTGCATGCATGGACACATGGGTTCATTGTCTTTGAAGTGGGAAAAAAATGTTTCCTACTCATTACTGGGCTTACTGACTGAGGTCACTGCCCTTGCCATAAGTTGGTAGCTTTCATACTTCAACTAAAAAAGGATCCTTACGCGTAGTGTTTTGTACTGGAGTTCATCAGTTTTTGTCACAGGGAATAAGAAATCAATTTAGAAGTCCAGCCACAAGTAATAAGGCCTTGTTACTTGCAATTGACATTGGAGGGCCTGTGATTTATGTATGAAGGACTCAACAACAGCACTGCCTGTGCAGAGGTTGTTACTGCAGGAGGAAAAGCAGGGTTGTGTTTCCTTAACTACCTTTTCTTTGTAGCAAGTGAATTGTCTAGAAATCACACCTGACAGACATCTGCTAGCTGCAGCAGGTATGCTTAGCTTATGAAGAAACATAGCGATGGCAGTAGATTGATCCATAAAACCCTGTCCCATGATGTTCTGAACCAATCAAAGTTGTGATATATGTCCGTCATGCATGCTCAAAGTCCAGTTTGTCCATGTGCGTAGAGTGATGTAGCTAGAATTTAGAAGGTGTGGCCTCGAAGAGGGCATGCGTTAACCAGAGCCCTCTATAGACAGAGTAGAGGCATCTTCAGACTTTGGAACAACAATGGCTGTTTATTATCTGTGCAGTACAGCATGCAGCTATTCCGTGCCAATTGTCCACACACTGATGCATAATCTGCCATTTTGGTTCCGACAATTAAGACGCTCTTGTCGCAACTCTCTCTATAAACAGTTCTGGCGTAATCTGCCCATGCTCACAGTTGGCTTGGACTACTGAATTATAAGAGTAATATATTGTCGGCTAATTGATGAAGAATTTTTTCTTGAACCACAGACTGGGGACCAGTGACATCTACAATTCAACCTTTTTCTGCTCAGTTTTTCAAAACCCTGTGTTCATTTTCAGAGCATAATATAGATGTTTTCTTCCAAAGGACCATCAAACAGTGTTCTTACTGTAGAAATTGATTAATTTTTTCATTATTTCAAAAATAACAGGTTATCAACACATTCGTATGTATGACATCAACTCTAATGAAGCCTCACCAGTTATCAACTATGAAGGAATCTCAAGGAACGTGACGGCTGTGGGATTCCAGGAGGATGGAAAATGGATGTTCACTGGGGGGGAAGACTGCACAGCTAAGATATGGGATCTCAGGTTAGCCGTTTCCAGCAGCAAAGTTTACTGTCAGGAGCAAAAAGAGGTCTCAAGAGCACAAGAATCGTTGGCTTTATGCACCTGTAGGCGACTAAATACTCCTCCCAAAATTCCAATAGGGCAAAGATGAATTCCGGATTGTTCCCACTGGTCAAGTGTGAGGTTACAGCATGGTGGTTAGGTAGATTCTGCAACCTTTTTGTACCATCGGGTAACCGTCTGCTCAGCGTTCACTTCAGAAACCTTCAGTTTCCAATGGCATGAAATGAATTTTGTTTGACAAACTGATTAGTGTCAATAGGCAAGGTCTTCTCGATAGTCTGATTTTGATGAAAATCATCAATGTATCTTTACTCGTGCAGTATTATACTGAAACTTACACCTTTCTGTAAACTGATCACCAGCTGTGGAAAGCATTTTGTTAGAGCTGTTCTGTTGAACACTATAATCTTTTGTAATTTTTCAGAATGAGGAACTTGCAGTGCCAAAAAATCTTTCAAGTCAATGCGCCAGTCAACTGTGCCTGTCTACATCCAAATCAGGTACAAACTTTATTTCTGATTATCCACCACCCATATGATGCAAGATATGTAACAAAGAGGGACCCCCCTTCTATTGTGTCTTCTTTTGTGTTGATGGAATCTTTGGAATTCCTTTCAGATTTCCGAGGGGGGGTGCAGTAGGTACAATGGCCGTAGGGTATACAGCTTGTGCATCACATTAGGGGGGGTCCCCCTTTCCCACATATCACCATTACCACCGGTAAATATACCTTGCGGTTCATTTTTTATCCGCTTCATTTGTTGCTCTGTATTGTTTGGCTTTCACAGGGAGAGCTCATTGTCGGTGACCAGAGTGGAACAGTTCACATATGGGACTTGAGAAGTGGTCACAATGAACAGCTGGTAGGTAGTCATGGCGCAAGCATTTCAAAAAGTTCTACAAAGTTGCACGCTGGTCTCCCTTCCTTGTTTTTTCAAAGGGGGTATAAATTGTTATTATAGCAGCAAAATCAATCCTGGGTCGAGCTGCTCGTCTCATCTGTGCCTGCCCAGTTTTCCTAAATCAACTCAAGCCCAGATAATATCCAGCTCTGATCAGATTTCCCCCTGGGTTTGCAGTGGTCCGAATAGCAAACAAAAGGCATCTGTTCTAGGCATTGAATTCAGCAGGCTTGGCACGCTGTGTTGTTGAATTGAGTCTGGTGAACTCACACTTGCTGGAAATCACCTTCGTTTTAACTACATTACCTTTCAGGTACCAGAGCCAGACTCGTCCATCCAGCACCTCAGCATTGACGCCGAAGCCACCCACATGGCCGCCATCAACAACAAGGGCAACTGCTACATCTGGCGGGTCTCCCCTGGGAAGGAGGATCCCATCTCCCAACTCATCCCCAAGACCAAGATCCAAGCCCACAAGAAGTACGGCCTCAAGTGCAAGTTCAGCCCAGACTGCACGTAAGCGAGTTCAAGACTTTACACCTTTTTTGTTGTAATGTTTATCCTTTGGTCGCTAGGGGTCCACCCTTCTGACCCACTTTTGATCAATCGTTACCTCGGTAATTAAAAAAAAAAGCACTGCTACGTACATTATCCCCAAGCAAACTGACATGCAGGATCCTGATTGGGTCAAACCAATCCATGGCAACCAGCTGCACACTGTATATACCCTGGGCCACAGAGTACTCCAGTTATTGTGCCATGGATACGTGTGTTGTATTCCTTTGGTGCTGCACAGTCCGCTATGAATTCAAAAGTGGAGAGCGTGCATTAACCCCTTGTAGACGGGAACTTTTTTCTGAAAGCCGACTCTGAGAATTCCAGCCTCGCTTGGCCACAAAGGCCACCTGCCAAACCGTAAATTCTCAGTTTGTGGCCCTGCGTGCTGTGCACGCTTTGATTTAAACAGTGAAAAGGCTCATTGGTGGCATGAGGCTCTACTCAAGCTTCCACATTCCTGTTGCCTCTTTTCAAAGTGGGGACTATTGTGAAGCTGGTGATTATGATGCAAATTCAGCCTTTTCATTTCTTGGCAACACACAAAGGCCAATCACCATATATACAAGAGCCAGGGTATGCCTTCTTTCACTGTGTTCGCTCGAGCGTGGGCCGAGAATAATAGCCGAAAAGCGGGCAGAGGATCTCAATTTTTACGGCGGCTCTTACCGCTTCCCGGTGAGAAGGGGTTAAGTGTGCTTGATGCACAATGTTATTATTCTGGAACACTTAAAAATGTGGTGCGGTTGTGTCCCACATACCTGGAGGCCATGGATAAGTAATAATACAACTCATTCTGTAGCATTTAATCTAATCATTGTTAAGGTCACTATCTGGTTGTAAAGAACTCTCCATCTAAAAAGGAGCGTGTATCTTAGGCAAGCTCGTGAATGGAAAGTCATGTAGCCTGTAAAGCCAGCATGCATGTTGGTATGACTTTTTACTCAACAACTTCCCAGTGAATGAATGAATGACTTTTCAAGTCACAAATAGAAAATATACCAGCGTGAATTCTCCAATTTCATTAGAAGTTTGATATGGATCTAAGGCTTTACAGTAAATTCAACCCTTGACATATTGCCTCCATTAGACCACTAAATCAGTGCAGATGTGGTACAGATGATCTTCCTGACTGGATTTGAAAGCCAACATACCATGGGGCAGAATTTAGGGACTTTTGAGGAATGGACTTCCAAGACATTCACTCAAATATTGTGTGTTGCACTTTAACACTAGCAAACTTTATCTCGCATTAACAATAATTGGGTCCTTGGTATCAAAAAAAGATGAAATAATCTTATATTTGGGAAATGTTTTTCCTGATTTCTTTGATCAGGCTTCTTGCCACCACATCAGCGGACCAGACCGTGAAGATTTGGAAGACAGCAGACTTCACTCTCTTGACAACTCTCGCAGACTCGGTGCAGAGATGGGTCTGGGACTGTGCGTTCTCGTCAGATTCACTCTACATAGTGACAGGTGGGCGGTCAAGATTGCTCTTGTCAGTATGCCTTGGTGCATTGTTGCCCCAGATAAAAACCAAAACGAATGATCAAAGATGACAACAACAGTAAATTAGTGGTCAAAGGTTGGGTTATAATCCACAAAATGACATGGAATGGGGACAGCGAAGCATTGAAAATCGTACCCACAAAAGAGGCAAGGCATGTGATTCTGTTTCATCTTCATCCTTATTCAGATTTTATCCAGGCTGTGGGGATTACGTTTGGGGGTTCTTGCCTCTCAATTTGAAAAATTCCCAAACTTATTTAGGGGTTTTTTAGTAGCCCAAAATGAAATAGTTCTCTGCAGATTGCTTCACACTATGCAAACATTTCACCAAGCATTTCAAAGGGCCTTGTTGAGGAAGCAAATATGACCTCACTAGAAATGTGAAACTTGTGCAGTGACACAGTGGCCTGAGTCAGATTTGAATCTAGATCGGAGGAGAAATGTAGAATAAAGAACGTCTGTGTTTGTATTTTTCATTCCAGCCTCGTCGGACCACACAGCCAGGTTATGGAGTGTCGAACAAGCTGAAGTCAAGCGTGAGTTTAATGGACATCAGAAGGCCATCACAGCACTGGCGTTCTCTGATGGGATTTCAACATGAGTGGAATAAGCACAAGGTCTCTCTTGACTTGAGTGAATTTGTCAAGAGACAGTGCCAGAGATCTTTTTGTTGAATACCCTTTGAGAGAAGAGGGCTAATTCAAAAATCAGAAAGGTACTTTGATTATTAGCACTGTGGAAGATGAATTTTAACATGGACTTGAAATCCCAAAGGAGATTCACTCTACTTCAGCTGTACTTCTGAAAATCAGAAACTTGTAATTACTGTTGAAAGCCATCAAAATGTAAAATTTACTACATGCAAAGGCTTTTGGCTTGATTTGTCCAACTGTTACAGCTTTTATCACAACCAATAATTACAGCTGAAAGTAATCTCCGAACTGAAGTCTGCCATGCTATTCAGTGTGTAATACATTGTATGTACTGCAGTAGGTTGCATGGCCCATGCATTGTGCACATGACAGAGGTAACCCAAAATTAACATTTGAGGATGTACATGTAGTCACAAGATTATTGGCGTTAATACTGAAGCAAACACTGAGGCCATCTTTGTGATTACACACTGTAGTTGAGATTGGGGACATAAACTCATGTATACGGTCGACCCAATGCACATTTAGAAAGGGTCAACAAATTTCGCGCATTATGATTGGCCAAAGTGTTGCAAACTCTTGGTGGCGCACTATTGTGAATTGCCCGTATTGCACTAGCCTCTGGCCCCCTCCAACAATTCTTCCATCTTGTTAATGTGATTGGCCAAATTTGCAAGTACATGCACGTGCAGAAATGCAGTTTGTTTTTGGAAAAGCCTGAATATTTGAGTACACTTGACTCTACAGCATCTTGATCATGCATAGGACACGAATCTGTCCTAGCACAATGGCTTGGAATGAGCCACTTTGGTATTCCAACAGCACATGCCCAAAATGAGGCACGTCTGAATGACCTCATCCTAGATTTGTCTTGTCAGCGCGGCCCAATGCAGACACAAATTCCTGCTTTGTTCCTGAACCACCTTGTTTTTTGAAATACCAATATGGCTCACTGTCTGTACTCCGTGTGAAGTTTGTGTCCTTGATGTGCCTTAACACAGCCACGCCCATGAAGAAGTATGAACTAGTAACGACTGAATGAAGCCATGCTTTGACATATTTACCTGTACGAACCTCCATGTAACCCTGACAGTATAACAGATGACTGCTTGAACAGTTTCACTCTAGAACTTGATTATTATACATTTTAATACACGTACTGTACACTTCTGGAGCTGTTGGTTAACATGCTCCATCCAAGATAAATCCATTTACATGTATAATGTAAATTTCAGTGTTCTTAAATTTATGTGTAAATAGTATCTTGAGAATAAAGCGAAAGGTAAATAAATATGAACTGATCTTGAAGTGACCTATTTTTGACTGTTGTGATTCTCTGGCCTGTTCTTTCTCAGTAATTAATAATGATGACACGGGATTGAGGGTTCCTTGCACAAGTGCCTGTGGGAGCATGATAACTTGCTCATCCATGTGGGACACATATCAACACGCAATGCAATGAGTCACTGGAAGAGGAGTCAATGTTGGTTGTAAATCAACATTTCTGGTAATGTAATGAGAAGTACTATTTTCAAAGCATTTATGCATGTAACTACCCGAAAAACAAAATCACGGAATCGTGGTCAATAGTTGTGAAGACCACACATTGCAGAAACCCACTGCGTGGGGATGAACCAAAGCCCACCCTCCTCTGGTCCAAAATTTCCCTACATAAGAAAACTTGTCGGCCAGGGCACACCAAAAACCACTTAACACAAACATAAAGTCCAAGGATAAACTTTATACAGAGTAAACAAGAATGCTGCAGCTGCTACTTGAGGGCATCACGTAACGTGCTAATAACAGATGTGGGCCATTGTAATGTCTCGTGCACATCCACGTGCTCCTGGGTTTCACTCCGAGTACATTTGAAGCAGTATGCATGTACTTGGAAAACAATCCACAAAATTGTGCATAAATCTGGTGCCAGATTTAAACCAGAGACACACAGACGAACAGATGAGAAATGGTCATGTAGTGCTTTCAGACAACTAGCACATGAAGCACTATCGCCCACCCTCAAGACTCTAAATCAGAAATTAACACCTGAACCAACTCTAGTCTGAAATAGGTAACTGTGTAACAGATTAGCTTTAGTTCCTATTTTTAGCATGTACCTAATATCATAGTTCCACTTAATTTACACGAGTAGCAGGTGGTACTGACATCATTCGCATATCGATTGCGTTATTGATATCTTCTCTTGGTACTGCTTGTAGTAAGCATTTGCTAAGAAGTAGAATGGTGCTTCCACGTTCTCACGCTCCTTCTGCAAAATGTCCAAGAAGCAAAACAAGGGGATGAGAAAGAAATGTTCAAGAGAATCTTAAAAACTGCAAGTCACATCACAAACTATTCTATCATGACCCTAAAATGTGACTGATCTTCTGCACAAAGTCTGAGCACAATACGTCACTCCACGGTATATAAAAGCACTGCTTTGTGTTACAACTGTTGATATGATCGACATAATTACCACAGCTTAACATTATCAGGAAAAATATGAACAGATATGTACAAATTGAAGAGACAAAACCAAAGATAAGAATCTATTAAATGAGAAACAAGATGTCTGGTAATTACAAGTTTGGAAAATTTTACATGGATTGAAAATATAAAAAGAACACTCACCGCAGAACACTCAAAGTACTCAACCTCCATTCCAGCAGCAGCTTTCTTTGCAATGTCTGAAGTGACTGCTCGCCTCGTATCTAGATCAGTCTTGTTCCCAACCAGTACAGCTGCACGATCGTGGGGAATATGCACACAAAACATCTTTAGTCTGGTGAAACTGAATCTTGTCTTGAAAGAGAAATTACGAAACAAGACAGGCAAAATGAGTTTACTTGAACACACGATAAGGACAACTGGAGCTGTTGAATCACCTGAATGCAAATGATGCTAATAATTGAAATGAGGCGACAAATCAGTTGTCTAGAGCTAGGTCTAGTATTGTGCAGGGACACAGAGGCGACAAATCAGTTGTCTAGAGCTAGGTCTAGTATTGTGCAGAGACACTCTGACAGCAGGCAGTCGTAGATCTGGAAAGCTGGCCTTTGATACTGGTTCCCTAGGCAAGAGCGTAAGAACCATGCTACATTTTTAAGGGCTTTGAAAATCCGTAACACCTGTCCAGGTCATTTTCTATTAAAAAGTGAGATACACTTTTATTCGGAGGCCTCTACTTTCTTTTGGTTAAACCCTTTCAATCCAAAAACTGCGATGTACTGTCTCCGGTAACATTTCACATCCGTGGCAATGCGCGCCACGGATGGCACATTTAAAATGTACTGGATTCATGAGACTCACATCAGATGGAAAGCATTCCATATTTACCTCTGCTCGGGAGTGGGGTTAAAAGAGAAAACCCCGGGGTTTAATGTTTTTCTTGGGAAAAGCAACTAGTGTGAACGCTGGTGGGTTTGAACGTACCACAGCGTGTTGAGCCGTTATCTTGAAAGGTCACAGGGTCACAAATAGCGCGCCAAATAATTTGCACGGTAACTTAGTATTGTAATGCAGTACCTTTCAAACTTCAACTTGGCCTTGCGCGACGAAAACAGCAGCAGCTTGTGCATGCGCGTTATTATGGGATTGGACTTCCGCCCTGAATTTATTTGGGAACGTCCGGATGGGCGCCCTCAGTTCACACATTTCCCGGGGTTTGATTGCCAGTGTGAAACGACCATGCATATTCCCAGGAAATAGTGTCTTCGGGAGTTACCAAATAGGTCTAGTGTGAACGATTGCTGGGGTTTTGGTGGGGCAAAAAGCCCCGGGGATTTTCCCAGGGATTTATTTCCTGGGGATTGGCTCTGCAGTGTGAAAAGGCCTTTAATTATTCAGTCCTTGCCCAGTACCTGAACTCTAAATACAAGATAATTTGCATTCTTCATACCATGGATGTCTCGTCCTGCCTTGGCCTTAACCCGCTCTAGCCATTTCACACAGCTGGACAGAGACTTCTCATTGGTCAAGTCAAACACTACAAAGGCCAATGATGGGCTGTCCCACTGTTAATCAGAGAGAGGTTTAAAGAGAAAATTACTGTTAGCAGATTTCCCTTTTGTTCTTTTCTTACTTGGATTAAACGGCATATTAACTCACTAGTATGTGCTTGATTTTCCACTTACTGTCCTTGTTTAAACATTACAAAAAATGCCTATTTTGAAGTTAGCCACAAACTAGTTACAAACAGAGAGGAAATTTCTCAAGTACCTTATGTTTCTCCAAGCAGGTTGGCAACTTACCATCTGTTGAATGTAATCGGAGAACATTTCTTTTCCAGCAGAATCATAGATGTACAATTCCTGAAAAGGAGACCAGCAAAACAATTTGTTGCCAAAATGCCGAATAGCGTTTATCAATGCTGAAATACCTGAAAACAATTGTGAAAAAACAAGAAGGCCGGTGTTGAACTCAAAGAACACTCACCACACTGTTGCTTGTGTCTGGGATGTTCACAGTTTTAACGCACAGCTCTACTCCAACTGTCTGGAGGAGAGAAAGACACTGATTCTGTTAGGGGTTGAAATATCTATTACAAAAATACTCCATCTCATCCTGTACCTCCTGTACTGAAAATCAAGTTTTATTTGTCTGTACAGTGGCTTGCTTTCACAATACGTTGTTCAGAACTCCAAGTAATCAAAACCAAACTTTACACTCAAAAACAAAAATTTCAACATTACCATAGAGTACGCCTTAGGAAAGTGTGTGCCATCACTGTGGAAAACTTGGGTCAGTGCACTTTTGCCCACTGTAGAATCACCTGTTAACAGGGCAATTGAAAATTGATATTCATTAACCACGGTGCTCCCAGGTTCTTCAAAACCTGTGGTGCTTTGAATTTTGATGGATTTAGGCTGGCATCAAGCCAAGCCATTATTACATCTGCAATTATTGAAATACTGCTCAACACTCCTTGTTGCACTGCAGTCGGAATAACCTGAGGGGGGCTGTGAGTGTGCATGAATGTTCTCTAGTTTCTTAGGTGCTGGTATGTACAGTTGTTGCATGAAAGTTGACTGCTGTAATGTCCTGGCGAACTGTTTTCAATCAATTACAGTCCTTGGGAAACAGGAATATTTGTAGCAGTCTTTTCTTGCTTGTAATCTGAGGAAGGTATGCATTTGAAGATCTAGATGGGAACGCGGTCGGGATTAAGTGGTTCCTGTCGGGATGGCCAGGTGATGACTTTACACGGGGCTTGATGCTTTGCAGGCCTAAGCTACAGAACAAAGCTAGATGTAAGTTTCATTTCATTTAATATTTTTATCTGACTTTATTTCAACATCATAAGAAACATGCTATATAAATAAGCAGAATCTCACAATGTACAATTTACCTAGATGATATCAAGCATAGACCCAGACTACTTACAGAACTGCAAGTCACTTCTGTGTGACATCAAGAGCTACCAAAAAGGTACTTCACGTTTACACGTATGGGAAAAATTTATTGCAAAAGTGGAATTTGTATCACCGTTAATTTACCTCAAAGACTGGACTTAAAAAATCAGATAGCGTTACGACCCTCATGCAAACAAAAATGGCTACAAGGCACACGGAGCAGTTCTGTAAATAGACCATGACATCCATGTAGACACATGCATGACATGACAAATATTTCAGATGCAACTCGCTGTGACATCCAGAAGATTTGTAACCTTTTGCGGTGAAAACAAACCAATATTACCACAAGTCAACAGTGTTTTCACCTTGCTGTGACCTTGGGTCACAAACGCTCCAGGATGAACGCATACGGCACTGGCATCCATCCATTATTGATTATTTTTGTCCAATCATCATTGTGCAAGCCAAAATTTTATACGGTCAGATGTCGAACTGGTCTGCATAAATATTATACAATGCAATAGGCCTAGGCCAAGCCTACTGCAGAGCTGCGAGAAGTAGAAGACGACTGACAACACAAACTACAGCCCGACAGTAGCACAGGAAGAAGAAGATACCTTCAGGACAAAACTTTCTTGTATTGATACAGTCATTATCATTAATAAAAGGCACCCACCACATGTATTAGAGTCAGCTGGCCACCTGCCCCTGCAAATACCAGTCCTGTATTGCTAGTGCCTAGTGGAGGTTTTTTCAGTACTAGGAAAAAGAAGACAGTCTCCTTCCTCCATAATAATCTGACCATGGTCATGGAGAATCCCGGTTTCCTCCTTGCATCATGCACCAACCAACATGACCAACATGAACTTAGCCTAGTACTAGTAGTAGTACAATGACCAAAGCGAGTGCCTAGACCTGGGGGCCTAGGCTAAAAAATATTGCCTACTCCGAGTAGGCCTAGTAGTATAGTAACACTACCCACTGGTATAAATACGTACCTACAACCACGCACTTGGCTCGCAAAACCACCGGCATGGCGGCAGGCATCTTGAAAGATCACGCAACCAAAACTGCTTCTTAAGCTGAGAAGTTTACCTGAAATGAAGAATTATTTAGTTCTCATTTTGCCACTAGTTGACAGTAACTAGTGGAAACTGTACACAACCTGCGAGCGCGAGTCGGAATGTCCAACCTCATTCTCACATTACAGATAGAGCGCGAAACGGTTCTGTCTGGCACTCTCTGAAGAGTATACCCTGAAGCAAGGTTGTTACAAAGACCCCTTTACGAAGGGTATGGAGCGCAAACTGTAAAAACAGTTGTTTAGTTGATCTTATTATTTGTGCATGGACCAAGTCAAATAAAGACGCAACAGATGATCTCGAACTTGTCCCTTCAGTAACTTCCAGGACGATGATGCCATTATTTTTTAACTTCACAAAAATTTGTTTAAGTCTAACAAGTATTTTCGTCCAGTTTCATTAAAGGTAGGTATGGCAAAAAATGAAAACAAAATGTCCTTTATAATCATGTATCATAAGACGGCACTGACTTTTCATTATACAACGTCAGCCATCCTAAGGATACAACTTTCAATATTCCAATGATTGGGTTGGGTTTAAGAAAATCCTTCCGGTTTTGAGTTGTAATCCCAAATGTCATTGCACTTCCGGTTACCCTTGAAGTCAAAGTCACGTGACTTTCCGTTGAAGTTACGGCAATGCTGCCCAAGATATAGTCTACCCATAGAGCTATATATAGAGAGCTAGATATATAGCAGTGTATAGCTATAGAGCTATATATGTATATATAGCTCTGTGAGTCTACCTTTCTTGGGCAAATCTTAGAACATGAACGTGCTACCTCATTCAATTCCAACTTTGACTTTATATTACTTGTAATTTGATGTTTAATGGAGTCACTAGTGACGTCACGAAAGCATTTCTCGACATCAAGGCATTACATGGTTTTATATTTATGTCCTAACCTGGACGATATTGACTGATGCAATGATTTAAGGGGGTGGTTTGAAGCATTTAAAATGTACCTGAACTTTGACCCTCATTAACGGCTGAATCAAAGGTCAGACGGCATGACGGGCAAAACGGTTGTCCATCATCTCAAGATCTGTCAGAGCTATCACAAAATATGGACTCCCGCTAATGTATCTGTTCATGAGATTCAGCTGATAGACATTTTTTAACGACTATAGCTTGTAATTTGAAATCAGATTATGTCATCGTGACGTCACGTATGCTCATCTAGTTTCAGTTTTATACGGTAAATCTTCTCGGGGAAAAGTCTTGCGGAATTATTGTCAAAAAAGGGCGAAGAAAGATGGACCCCTACAAACCAAATAGGTGACCAGGTGGTACCCGATCACCTAAAAATGGCACTGACACTCTATAAAGTACTAGTGGTAGGGTAGTGCTGGATAGAAGAAAGAATGACGTGTCATTGTCTCCGTATTATGTACATGCATGTAGTAAATGTCAGGCGTCATCGGTCGATATGCGCGATCCACAGATCTTGTCCCACAATTTGTCGATACTGATAACCGTGACTCCGCCATTAGCCAGCCACCTTTTCTGTCTGATTCGCGGCTGGGAAAGAATACATCAAAAAGTTACAGATCTGATACAGGATAGACCAGTTGCCTTTCCGGATTTTGGGTTCAGGGAGGGGCAAAATGCATTAAAAAACAGGCATCCAAGTTTTTTTCTTCCGTAAAAAATTAAATTCTCACGCCCTTAAGTGGTCGTACCGTTTCGAAAGTGTTTTGCGCTTCCAATTTTTTTTACGATAACAAAAATCAGCAAAATGCCGGGGGGAAGTTTCCCCCTGCTGGATATACGCCAGTGACACATGGTATATGGGGGGGCAGGGCAAATTGCCCCCTAAGGATTTTTAAAATTCATTTATTCATTATTTCTTTATTCATTTTTTTTTACAAAGAATATCTCATAGGTAAGAAAGTACATGTCATCGGTATATTTATTTATCAAATATTAGCACCAAAACCCTAAGAAAACACTACCGCGAAATAATTAAAAGCAAAGATGTCGGGATATTGCGAGTAAGGTTTGATATTTTTCCTCTTCCAACATCATATCGAATGAGCCCAGAGCCGCATTCTCGTTTTTGAATCCCCCTCCACCTTACAACAAAACCTGGATACGACGCTGATTCCCCCCGGGATGACTGTCAAAAGGGAACAGAAGCCGAAGAGCAGACGATTCGAGTGTACTGATGATGATGCGGGATGTTGAAAAACAAGTGCATTGCTCGCAGCTGCATATGCATATTCACCCTTTATCTTCCGTCAGTGGCATAACAAGTTTAAATTTCTGGAGGACACCCTGCTTGCATCTCGGGGGGGGGGCATCCAAAGCCGATTGTACATAAGTTGTGTACATTTCCAAGTTTTCGTATGCTGGACCTGCTGTGTGTGTGTGGGGGGGTGTGACCCCTGTACGCCAGTGCCTGAGGTGATCCATCGAGAACATGTGCCTGGCATGTGGTGGGAATAGTCATCAAGTCTTAAATTAATAAATATTTGTTTTAAAGTCTTAAAACAGTGGTTATGCAAAAGGCATACTTACGCAGCAACCCTTAGCACTCAATTAAAAGTACGTCTACTGATCACATGTATAATTCATTGAAAAGGGAATAATTGTAAGTGTCTTTTTCATTCAAGCTTTTTTATCCGGGGAAATGACGGTGTGCTATATGTATTTTTACAGGATCGTGTGATTATGGCTTCTGTGATGTATGGTTATAGCCATGCAGTTGAGGCTGAATTATTTCAAGAATTTGCAAGTCGGTCAGCAAAGGTTCTAGACTCTTAGACAAATGTTATGAACTTTAATTCTGAATTTTTTTTGTACCTGGTCCTTTATTATTTATTTTACTGGATAGTTTATTTCGCATAAAGCTGTTCCTCATTTGATTGCTTGATTTTCAATCGGCCTCCCATACCTTTCCGTGTTTTGTAGTAGTATGGCTCTGCGTTAACAGCCTTTTATACTGCAACGGCGCGCAGGAGGGGACACGACTCCCTGAGTGCGTTGATTGGTAACTTACGTCTGTACGTGTAGGCCCTACCCTGCAGGACCGGGAACACCGAGGTACTCTTTCTGGGCTTGAATCATATGGGGGCTTGGTCGCTCGGTGTGGAAATCGGAAGAACCTTTCCTTGCCAAAAGTTGTTGTCTAAAGCAAACTTGCTGGTCTGCATCATATCTTATCCTCAACAATTCAAAAGCTATGGCGGAATTGCCGTCGAGTGTGAAGAGGAAGGGTCACTTCGCTGCTCTGATTCTAGCGAGGGGTGGAAGCAAGGGGATCAAGTTAAAGAACATCAAGTTACTTGCTGGTCAACCGCTGATTTCCTGGGTTCTGAGAGCAGCCATAGATTCAGAAGGTAGGCCTACGGGTGCACTGAACCAATTCAAGCTCCATTGAAAATATTGTAAAATCAAGGAAGGATCGGTGGCTCTGCATGATTGATTGGTTGTGGTATCGGTCAGGTTTAGGGCATGTCCACAGCTTTTGTCAGGTGACTATATTTTTTTTTCAAATTACAGCTGTTGAAGAATATTCTGGAAATGGAAAGTTAAATCCAGATATTTTTGTAAGTCTTATCGCAAATACTGCATGGATGATTTACACAATGGGAGAAAGGCATTGTGGGAAGGAAAAAGGAGCAAACATTGCCTCTTTTTCCTTTCCACAATGCCTTTCCACCATTGTGCAAAATTACCCATGCAGTATTTGCGATAAGGCTTATAGTCTCGAGTAAAAGCCTTATTCAGGACAGATACCAGGGAAAACAATCTATAGTCCAAATTACAAAAAGACATGCATGGCCCACATTATACTAATGATCAAAGATCGTAGTGCGCCGTGTAGCGCCGCGAGATGGAGAACTTCACCGCGAATACATGTAAAACGTTGTAATGGCATAGGCGCCATTTGAGCAAGCGGTACGCATGCGCAATGCACATTACTGCATAGGCTAGGCGCAGGCGCCGTGGCAGTCACGTGCACCTGGTGAGCCTGCGTTGAAGCATTACCGTTAATCGCACAGGCGTATCGCTTGCTCAAATGGCGCCCATGGTAATTACACCTCTTGGGCAGAGTTATCCATCTTGCACCTTTGGCGCTGTACGATCTTTGCTAATGACAATGATGACGTGCTGCATTTTAAATAATCTTTTTGTTTTTACGTGTGTACAGAGTTTGATAGTGTGTGGGTTTCCACAGACCATGATGAGATAGCTCGTATCTCGGAGGAGTGGGGTGCAAAAGTTCACCGCAGGTCTGCTGAAGTATCGCATGATGCCTCCACATCCATTGAGACTGTCCAGGAGTTTTTGAAATATCATCCAGGTAATTGCAGGTGACTTGATCTGTTTGTAACACCAACAAAACAAATTTTCTGTTTGTTCTCGTTCAATAAAGAAAATTTTTGACCGTAACAGTTGTCATTTTCGTAACATCTAAGTTACTGTATTGTCATGAAATTTGCGTCTTTATGACTGTTTGAGGACTTTCCAGAATCACTTCAGTATTTTTCAGAAAAGTACCATAAAAAGCTTTCTTGTGAAAATCTTGGACTCTTTCTGAGATATTTTTCTTCAAGGAAAGTTTGCATTGTATGGTTGTCAGATATATTGAGAAATTCTAATTTTGATGTTAGAAAAGTCCAGGATTTTCTTCCTTTTTCACTTTTCAGGACAATCTCGGAATTGTCACAGTTTGTGCCAAAAAAACACCAGTGTGTCTTAATTTCATGATGATCTACCTTTTCTTTTCGTTTTTTTCTCAGAGGTTGAATTAGTTGGGCAGATTCAGTGTACATCACCCTGTCTTCAACCGTGGCATTTACAGGGCCCTGCCCGCATGATCAGGAATGAAGGCTACGATTCAGTATTTGCTGTCTCGCGCAATCACCTCCTTCGATGGAAGGAAGTCAAAAAAGCAGGTATTTCAATAGACCTTATTCACACTTTTTTGGTTCTGTTCCCAGAATCTATTGTATTCAATGTAATCTGTTAAACGGGGTGGTGCCAGACCATTGTGGCATTTTATTCCCATGAGCCAGCCGAGGTCTTGCCTGTCTGGGCGAACTGTTTCCAACTGTGAAGAAAGTCACCTTACCTAAACCTAAACTATCTGCCTTGGCCCTTGAGTTTGACGAGCAATCTAAGGTCTAGAGGTGAGGGGTCGTTTTGGCAGAAATATACCACCGATAGGTAATTGATTTGGTGACCCGGTCGACTGACATAACAACGAGCATGTGCGTAAACAAGATATTACCGATCAACTAAGATACAAGATCAACTAAACATATTTAATATACTTTTCTTTAGCTTATATAATTACTATTTTTACACAATTAGAATGACTTATTTTATACAAGAGTTACAAAACAATAATAACACAAAGCACAACTACAAAGGAACACTTCAATAATCCGCACTCCGCAAAGTGCTGCTTCACTTTCAGTTTTTTAAATGTGGCTTAAAAGATTTATTTATTTTAAATTAAATTTAATTTTAAAATCTTTCATCAGTATAAATGACATTAATTTGTTGTGAAGTTTTATTCCATTGCCTGCCTTTTTATGCTCAGGTGTCAAAATAAAAGAGTTAACCTTGCTTTTAATTCAATATGGCCAACTTGTGAATTAGGTCAATTGGAGAAAAACCATGTAGTCCATTTGTTGGCATTAATTAAGTTATTCTCATACATGTGTATACATGTATTTCGGGAAGAAATTGTGGCCCATTCAAATTTTTGAAACCAACAATTAGAAACTGCTGTTGAGAATTTATACTTCATTTTGCTAAGGAAACCTACGAACGCATGATGCTAGGATGGTACTCATTACAAAATATGTAACCTGGTACGACAGAATGAGAGTAAAGTCACGTCTCACTCTGTCCTATTTGAGGGTTCAAAGTCATATTGAAGCCGAGGTCAATTTTTAGGTTTTGTAATATTCGGAAAGAGTATGAGAGTCTCCTATTTAATTCCATACATTTCACAGGATCATATATTTAAAAATGGCATTTTCTCAGCAATTTTGACGAAAGTATGATTCGTGCCTGGTCTGAAATGGTGAAAATATGTCGGGAACAAAGACGCAAAGCTGTCAGAATAATGTCCCTTTGACACCTGATACTTTTACCCTAAGTTTTCCATGTATATACCTCTGGAAGGCTCTTTTTCTGTCGAATTCAAAACTATCAATACATGTCATGTTGTTCTAACAAATCACATGTAAATAAGTTTTCTTAGCACAGATCTATTTAGGAATTCATGCGGACGCCTTTTGTGTCTCATGATATGACATAGTAGCTAGGTTTACAAAACATGAGATCATCTGACTTTGCATGTGTGCATAAAATATGTTTAGTACAAAGAATTTTAAGCACAGTTCATTTCAGAGCAACATACATTGTACATGTGCTTATGACACTGAGTAAAGGAAGGTAAAAATTGTCAAAAACGAACGAATTTTGTTTTGACCAAAACCAAGTGAGAGACCCATTTCCTCTGGAAATATTTTACCATGATATCTGGTGTACATTTATACGTGTCTGCATAATTCAGTAAAAATCAATACGGCCATTGAAATCATTAAAATTGGTAAAATCAATAACGCCTGTGCTTCCTATGTTAGTAAGCCAGCTGCAAGTGCTTTCTTCTGTGAGAAAGGCTGCAGGCCTGTGTATTTGCATGCCTTGTTTGGAAAGATAGTTTGCAGAATTGGGTCACAATTAACATCATTCTCAGAATCAAAAGTTTTTCAGAATAAATGTTTTATGTAGGGAATTGTACACAACAATGGATATAGTACATTTGAAAGTTTTAGGCATTATTTTGTGGGGAACCATTTGAGGCAAGAATGTAAAACATGCATATAAATGTACTGTAGTTGTTTGTGTATTCTGCACAGATTAATATGTGAGTGCCTAAATGTTAGTTTGGTGTGCAACACACATTTTCTGAACTTAGTTTAGAAAAATTTTGCAGAGAAAAGCATTTTTTGCACATCTGTGTTATGTCCTTGTATTTGTAGTGTATAGCCACATTCTAAAATGTCTTTATCTCCTGGTTGTTGCTTTATAATTGCCCCGCTACGCTGAAGCCAGGTTTTTTTTTTACATTGGTTGGCCATTGTCTTGTGTAAAAAATTTTCATATCGATTTTCAAGAAGAGTATTACGTAAAATGTGTGCCAGTTTTTGTCTTCAATTTTTTAATGGATGCATTTTGTAGGTGAGCAGACCGAGGCAGAAAATTTCAATCCAGCCAGGAGGCCACGGCGCCAGGACTGGTCGGGCCAACTCTGTGAGAATGGATCGTTTTATTTTGCAACTCGGGAACTACTTGAAAGTGGGCTCTTCCAGGGAGGGAGGTAAAGTAAAAAGTGGAAAGAAAAAGGCAGAACGAAAGTATCAAATTTTCAACGTTTTCAGTTTCTATGAAAAAAAGTGAAGGCCATTAAAAATTTTTAACTCATTATATTGGTGTAAATTGGTTCCACAAGGTTTCCGAACTGTGTAAAATTTTCAATGAATTCCCTGCTAAACTGTCAACACAAGTGCTTAGCGTTAAATGACAATTAGAAAAATAAGAACTTGTCACACTGAACAGTGGCACTTGTGGTTCCTGACTTCCTGTGATATCGGTCTGGCAGGGACTACAGTTGGTTGGTCTGGTAGTGGTTGGCCCAAAGATTGGATCTTGTCATCTGAGGTGGCTTCTCACTTCTGTCAACTATAACATGCTGCATTGAGCAGGGCATCTGGCAAACGTGACCTTGATGATTGAGACTGAAACACCTGCAGTAAATCAAAATATTAAGTTGCCTCTTGCTTTGGGCCAGTATTAATCAAAGGCAGATGCAGCTTTTCTTGACTCATGTTTCAAGTCCTCCTTACTTTCCTATTTTGTCGTTGTAACAACCAGGATCGGCTACTTTGAGATGGGTCCTGAGTACAGTATCGACATTGACACAGACATTGACTGGCCAATTGCAGAACAGCGGGTCATCAAGTTCGGTTACTTTGGCAAGAAAAAGCCTCATGGGGCACGGCTTGTAGTCTTTGCAGCTGATGGTGTTCTCACGGATAATATGCTACACATCACCTCTGCTGGTAAGTGGATCACCGTATTTGGTAAAATTATGAAAATCTCAAATCCAATTTGAACAAGAATGTACTGCCACTGACATTTGCACCGTCGGATGGAGGCAGTCTTTTGGAAGGAGACAGCAACTTCAGTCTTGAATGTGCTGCAATTTTCATGTAAGGTAGCTACTGCCTACGTATCATACTTATTCCAGAAAGCTTTAGTTCTCAACAAGATCCAATAATATTTTTGGTATCTGTGGCTCATTGTTAGTTTCCTGTCTTGTTTTGGTAGCTCTTTTGATGTGGATTTTATTTGTTTGCTCTTCATTGTGCCAATTTTTCGTGGGCGTATTTAAAATAAAATGGAATAGCACAAGTAAAGGTCCTCGACACTTGTTTTGGCAGGTGAGGAGTTCCGCTCATACAACTTCAGCGATTCCATCGGGATCAAGTCATTGATAGCAAAGGGAATGACTGTACGGATTCTTAGTTGTAAGTTGTCCATAGTTACATGTCGTGAGTTCTTGAGCCGTAAGTTATAAAGGCCCTTTTCTCCTCATGTGAGAAGTCCATTACAGTAAGATCAAATGTGTGACCAAATCTAACAAAATGAGATGAAAGTCACTAGTGCCAAGTTTGAGTAATAGACCTTTGTTACAATCTTGTCATTAATAAAAATCTTCAACGTCTGTCTCCTATATTATGTTCATCGTCATCAGAAAACTGAACAATGCAACTAAACAAGGAGCCTGTATGCTCTCTTCAGTGCTATAGAGTACCAAAGTGGAAATGTCACATGCACAATGACGTTTGTTGAATGACATCAGCACGAGAACCAGCACATGAATCAATATTCACGCATACTCTGTTCATTTGTACAGCACTTCCTGGTTCTAAGTGACGCCACACAGTGAATGTCACATGCACAATGACGCGTGTTGAATGACATCAGCACGAGAACCAGCACATGAATCAATATACACGCATACTCTGTTCATTTGTACAGCACTTCCTGGTTCTAAGTGAGGTCACACTTTGGTACTCTGTAGAATAAGCCTTTTGCAAGTTACATTTGAGTAAAATGTGGTACACTGAGTTATCTGATTTGACATAAAGGTGATATTTTGAATTCCCAGACTGCATATACTGTTGCTATACCTCATGATTCAGGGCAAGCTTTTGCATGGCGACCACCATCTCTGGAATGGACTGGTTCCTTTGCGCCCTTCTTATCCATTGAAACCAGTGTATTGGTGCAAGGAGTCTCTTATGTAACTTACGGCAGCCACCATCTTTGGAATTTACTGGTTCCTTTGTACCCTTCTTATCCATTGAAACCAGTCTATTTTAAGGCGTCTCTCACTTATGTAATTGAGCATATGCTTGCCCTGATTCACAAGGTATAGCAACAGGGTCTTTAGTTTGGAGAATTTAAATTGTTTTGTTCGTGTGAATTTAAAGAACTCAGTGTACCAGATTTTATTCAAATATAATTTACAAAAGGCTTATTACTGGGATGAGCTCAAGACTGTGGGATTTGGTCACATACTTCACTAAATTCATATCAAAGCTATGTGAACTACATGTAAACCTAAACTCTGCATCTGCCCCCCCCCTTTGAGCTTGTGCATTCTGAATTACTTATGATTCTTTTCCTGTCCTGCAGGCGAAGAGAACGTGACTCACCAAAAGTTTGCAGACAAACTAAACCTTCACCTGACCATGGGGTGTCAGGACAAAGTGGCTGTTTTGGAACAGTGGAAGAAAGAATTGGGGCTGGACTGGACAGACATTGCCATCATGGGTAAGTCACTGCCTGTCCTTGTGGGTGTACTCCGAGGTTATGTGGGTGGGTTGGGGCACATCAAACTTACGCATACTTGAACTCTATGCTGTCTCCAATTGTTAAATTTAGTACAACATTTAAAATGCCATTTTGAACCCCTATAGCAAAACTGTGTAGTTTTCTTTTTTTCAATGAATGTTGACATAGAAACAGTTTAATAATCAGGAGAGATCTGCAAAATTTAAATGCTCCAATTTTGTGGCCAAAAAGAAATGTTCCCCTTAGTCTGAATTTTTTACTTTCCAAAGCTTCAAGTTCACTTCCATATAATTTGTAAAAGTTGTAATAATGTACCATTGTCTCGTCCAGATAGTGACGAATCCAGTGACTATGATGACGGTCTCACTGGCCACTTGCAGAGGCCCCCCCAGCCAGTGGCAATAAAGATTGTGAGAACTGTTGTATGAAGCCACTGTTCCGTTCCTGTATTAAAGGGTGGGGCATTGAAAGTGATCAGTGAAACATCATTGGATTCATCTATTGCTGAGCGCTCTTTTCAAGATCTCCTCTTTGGAAATTGAATCCTTATTTTTGTCATGGCACTGTGGTAGATATTCCATTAATTTGACAAATTAACTACGAGACAATGACCCGTCATGTATAGATCCCTTTAAGTCACACACTTCAATTTCACATTGCAACTCACAGGCTGCGATGCACCCGACATTGAGTGCCTCAAACGCTGCGGGGTCAGCGGATGTCCGGCTGATGCCCAAACCCCTGTCCAGACTGCCGTCCACTTTGTCTCCAAGCTGGCCGGCGGCCGGGGTGCGGCCAGAGACTTCTGCGAATACCTTCTCCTCATCAACGAGAAAGCCAAGTCGGCACTGGAGCAAGAAAGGTGTGCCACGCCTAAATAGTTGGCTCCTCGCACGAAGCCTGGAGGCTGTACTGGATTTTTCTGAATGGTGAACATGAAATGATAACAATGCAGTTATCATGGATTTCTCTTTGATTTAATGGTACAGTGTAACAAAACATGTTCAAATTCCATTAGTCAAATAGAACGAGTCTTATTTGATTACAACTCACTGAAATGATTTTAGCATCAAAAATGGCATATGTTTTAGTAAACAGGATGCCAGAGCCTCTTGCAGTGGCTTGTTGGCCGAATTTCAAGTTATAGACAGAGGTAGTTACAAACTTTATAGTGTACGTCATTCCTCAGTGTGAGGAATGATATGTTTGTGTCAGCTGAAAACTTGATTAACTTGCTCTGTGAGCATTGGTTGACCAGTGACTAATTTATGACACCTTTCCATGTGAACGGTGCTTAAACTAGTCAGTTTGAGTTGACCTGAGGTCACAAACCTTCATGGTTGTGGGATCTTACAGTGTATTGTATAGTACACAATGTGGCAACTAACTTCAGTAAGCCTGTCTGATGAGATTGATAGGATCAGCCCAGCTTGCCCTAAAATGAATGAATACATGATTGAACACAGGTGTTCTTCGGTCAGCCATTGATCTTATGGGAATTTAGTGATTGACTTGATTTTTTTTTAATTACTGTATTCAGAGATGAAATATAGGAACTGCAACATCACTGAAATGACTAGCTGTTCTCGATTGTGTTTTATCTTTTACGGGCCATGTAAGCAAGACCTTTCATTTTTTTTTCCCATTAAGTTACCAGAGCATCATACTAAGCTGATGTAAGACACATGTGCCATCTAACTGTGTGCCTGTGGAAGTGAGTTTTCTGGTCCCGCGACTTTCACAGCTCGTTGCTAGGCAACAGTGGTGGAAATAGTATACCCAGTAAAATTGCCTGTAAGCTTTGGGCTGGCCTGTGTACTATTCATAGGCGTTGTTGTAAACCAATGCTGCTACTGTGCAACAGCCATTAACATTTTAGGCTTGTCTTGGAATGTTGGCATGTATTATTTTTTAAGTGTAGCAAGAATTACATTATAACCCATTCCTGTCTGTGGCTCAAGTACAGGATTTCAACATTGGTAATTAGCAAGAGAAAAAAATGAAACATTCCAAATGTATGTCTATTTGAATTCCAGTTTGGATGCTCATCTACCTGAACAGCATAAAGATTGCTCAGAGAAGTCTTTTGAAGCATTTGAAAATTAACAGGAAACTTGAAAACACATTTGGAAAGACTATGCTAACTCTGAATGTGCTGCCGATTGGTAACATAGTGCTTTATCTTTAATCTCCATCAGATTGTTTGCTAAATCAAGTAGGTTTGTCCTGAAAAGGACATTTTTATTGACATAATGTCTTCATTTAGTAAGGTGGAAGTATTTTTTCATCATAAACCTGCAATATAACAGTCTGTTTGAAGGAATAATTGTTCCCTTTGTATAAGCTTTATTCAGTTGTATATTTTTCAAGCATTCAAAGGGAGAATATAAAACATGACCTAATTAAAATTGCAGACGTGGTAGTAGTTTTGGATTTGGCCAAAAAAGTGTCCATATCTTGACAATAATGGTCATCACTGTTGTTTAACCCTGCCTACTGGAGTTAAGAATCTGTTCCAGTTGGCATTGTTTCAAATAATCTTCTCTAGTAGTCGTATGTTCCCCTTTTCAAGCTGCTTTTCGAGAAGGAGTGAACTATTGTATCCTGGAAGGGGGAAGTGTGTGGATTATATAAACCATTATATTCCACATATTCATATGGGACTGACAGGATATAACCACTCTCAAGTTCTCAACTGAAGTTATTTCATTCTTTGCTGGGAGCATGAGGTATGTGGAGTCCACCTGTGAGCAAAGGACGAGTCTGGTGTGCTGTCAAAGTCCAGTGTGCTGTCAAACCATGAATGTATTACCCTCCACTGACACTGTATCGCCATTGACTTCACTACCTGTAGGATTTGTACCTGTGCTTATATCCCCCCACTATGAAATGAAGTGATGTCTGTGGAGATACATGTATGCCAAGCAGTGGCTTTCCCATGCGTCAATTTATGAAGAGACTGGTATAGGTCACGAGGCTCCACCTCTGTATTGATGCCACACTTTGTGTGCTTTCTTGTAGAGGGATTTCACATTAGCGCCGTCTGCGCATATCCGCATCGAAACTGAGGCTCTCTGTGTTGAACTTTGTTGCGCATGCCTGCGGAGTCCACACAGTACATGAAGTATCCGGTTCGTAAATGCGAAGCCACTTCAGTTTAAACCACGCCCACTGCACATGCAGATACATGACCATCGCAGGTACGTTAGTTCACGGTAAATTGTC